TTCGTTCGGCCGACGGCCTACGTACCCTACGTACCGAGCGCGGGCCATGTGCAATAAGGGTGCGGCACCGTCGGATTCCCCGGGGAACGGCGTGGCGTAACGTAAAATCATTATTAGGTAGGTAGGTAGGTGGTTGCTGGTGCACACGAGGGGTGGAAAGAGAAACGGGCGGCTCGGGCGAGCGGGGGTTCGAAGCGCCGCTCACCGGGGGTTGGGAATAAGAGCTCTGCAAATATTGTTCGTGCGCGAGCCGGCAACCCGGAATAGGCTACGAGGGTCGGAGCGTTACTTCGCGTTACCTTCGCAGTTAGGCGAACGTTTTCGGGGGTGGCGCGACGGGAGGCGCGACGAGTCAAGTGCACGGTCGTTGCAAGGGGTTGACGAGCGCAGTGACAGACTGGCAAGTGGTCACGAGTCTCTCCGATGAGAAAACACCGCGCACGGCCAGAGAATGTCTTTGGGAAGGGCGGCGGAATATTTTCAGAGCCTCTCGTGGGGTGGCGGGTGGCGGGTGAGTTTTGATAGCATCGGCCTCGTGCTGCCCGGCCTGATGAATGCAGCGGCAGAGCCGGTTTGCTCGCCTTTTGATTATATTACGTCGAAAAAGTGGCCGTTATATTTTTCCAACGACGCACGACTCCGGATATTTTTCCGATGTAATTCTAGATTGATTATTCCGCGTTTTCTCCGATTAAAATATAAAGTTATATTAGTTATACGTATGAAAATTATTATACACGGAAGATAAAACTTACGCGTCGGTCTGAGCTTGATTTATTCCCGCAGCTTGGAAAACTGTATCGTTCTCAGAGCTCCCTCGGATGTAAACCCGACCGATTTTCGGCGCGTTTCGGCGCCGATGTGTGCGAACAGAGCAACATTATCGATCAAAATCATCGTCCTGTCATTGGGATGATCAACTCGCCGTGTGTACGCGGTCTTATCCACACACGCGTGATCGTATCCATCGTGTTTTCATAATAAACACAACCTGTCCATTGTTGGTATAAAGTAAAGTCGATGGGTCGAAGCACGAGGAAAAGGGGAAGAACGAGTGCATTCTGCGTACTTATCGATCTTCTCATTCAACATTACAACTTCGAACGCGGAATTTTCGGCGACATGTGAGACGTCTGTCGCGCGTGATCTTTTTTTGATTCGCAGAATCTCGGGATGTTCCGAATCAATTTTTTTTGAAAAATCGTTTCTTTCCGAAAGAAATCGATTTTATTAGATCGATTCTCTTCTATGCGAACATCCTTAGTAGAATCATGACTGCCCCGCTCGATTTAAGCCGTTTGTACTTATGATATTATTTAAACGTGGCAAATCGCGCCCAATTAAATCCAAGTATTATGTAACTTGGAAGAGTCTATTTTAGTTTGTGTTATTTCACAATATATAATAGTATGATATAATCAGAACAAAAAAGAAAATGATGATACTTTCGCGATATTTTCTGAGTAAAGTTTGCATAATGTATTACGTTTGCGATTTTATAGTTTTATGATATTGCGGAAAATGATATACACATGCTTCGGAGATACGCGTTTTGTATCAAACAGTATCTATACACACGTTATCGCGGGAGGAAATTAGAGTCTCTCGTGAAAGACTCCGTAATACGATATCCATTAAAACACACTCGCAACGACCGGGACGATTAATTGGAATCGTCGAGGTCGTCCACTACTTTATCGCGCTATGACGTTGGCTGCACGTAAACACAATTGCATCAAAGCTCGGGCGTCTGTCTTTTGTGCATTATGCATTTACTGCTGGCTGTAATCTTCGGCTGATGGCCCAACTTCCTCCGCCAAGTTAAGCCGACATGCAATTAAGGCGGTCTTACCTCCCTATCATTCTATTGTTATTACGGATTCCAGAATTTTATCGCGACTACTTCCTGCGATACATTAACGTCGCTCGGACTCACTCGGAAAGCTGCTTGTCTTGCGATATTAAGCATCACCCGACCCGCTTCTTCTAAGAAACAGAGAGAGAGAGAGAGAGATCGCTCTTTACGTGTGTCACGGTGCGCATTTAATTTACGCACTTCCCCCCGCGTGCGTGTTCATCGAAAAATATCGCATAACGACTATTTACCGCGGTGTCGTGACGCGCTGAAAGAAAACAATCGGGAAATATAATGCTGTAACGCATTAAAACAGCTGCGTAATTTTCAACAAACATACGCGCCGTTCGTAACGCAATTAATAATTACCCGGCATCGCAGGCAGCGCGCCGTCCCCTCCCCCCTCCCTCTCCTCGAATTATGAATTCAGTTGCGGCTGCGACGTACGCGGATACCTGCGTCGAACGCGTTTCCCCCGAGCCCGCCTCCAGGGTACG